GCTAATATTTTCGAGAGACATAAAAATCTTCCTTTGAGAACTCCAATACATCTCTCGACAGAATTCCTAGTACGTATTTGAGCTTGGGTATATCTATGTTCAGGAGTGTTTGGCAATGCATTTCCAATAGGGGTCATCAACCAGGATTCCTGCGGATATCCTGAATCTCCCAACAACCAACTGTTTCTTTCACCTAGTAAAAAATCGAATTAGATGAGAAAAACATTAATTTAAATATTGGCAAATAAAAATATACATACATTATACATTTATTTTATATATATATATATATATATATATATATATATAGCAGTATATATATATATATATATATATATATATATATATATATATATATATATATATATATATATATATATATATATATATATATATATATATATATATATGGGTATATATATATACCGTAAACCGGGGTTACTTTGCTCCATTTTTGAAGAAATATGAGAATTAGTTGGTAGAAGACTCAGAAAAATAAAAATGAACTTGTACTTATCACCAGAGATAAAACAAATATTACTGAGTATTGTCTCATGGCCAATTATTAGGTAATCATTTTTTTTGGTACCAATTTTTTTGTTAAAAAGTGGCGCAAAGTCAACCAACGGAGGGGGTTACTTTGCTCCAATTCAAAAATATCGTTGTAACGTGAGCTATGTGTTATTTGGGGCAAAGTTACCCGACGCATTTAATTGACTTTGTTCCAAATTATAGTCTTAAATAGCAAAAACCTCCAAAAGTTTGTTTTTTATATTTTATTTCGGAAACCTTTAATATACAAACGAATTGCAAAAAAATGCAACTTTATGATCAAACTTGTGTAGATAACGTAGTGAAATACCATATTTATTAATATGCATTCAAAAGTAACGAGAAACTTATATAACGTGGTTCAAATAAGTTTGTCGGAAGCAGAAAAAAAGTTTTATTTGGCTCTTTCAACGGTAAAAAAAAGATACACATTTAAAAAAATCAATATAAAAAAAAAAATTGTTTTTAAAAACAAAAAAAAGACAAAAGGTCAACTGTTTACATTGCGTAACAAGAAATATTTACTAATCTAAAAAGTCTGTTAATTCCGGAACAGCAAATATGCCTCTTTTAGAAACTTGCTTAGGTGGATTTATGGAACCCAGAACATCGTCCCAAGAGTAAGGAATTTCATCTGGTTTAGAAGGCCACTTCCACATTTTCAGCGACTTTTCCATGGAGCTAATGACGACTTCGTCTTCATTAAATCTCAAAATTTTCCCAGGATATAGCAATCCTTCATAGGAAAAAACAACGAAACTTCCTATTTCCCGAACTGTATTTCAAAATTGAAGGGTATTATCGTTTGCTGATTTTCCTTCTATGTAATCCACGAAAGCCTTTTCTTTTTCCTGCTCTTTAACCAGTTCGTCGAAATCAATGTCGTCTGAGGAATTCTCATCAAATATAGTTTCGTTGCGTTTTATCCCAGATGAAGTAGTAGGCTCTTCTTCCAGTGTTTCATTATCGGCTATTACCTCACTATTAGACATATCTTCATCACTTTGCAAGTTTTCCAAACAAACACTTCTTCCGGGGGGAATATTGAGTTTTTTTCTACGACTTTTAACAGCCAAGTCAACTCTATTCGTTGGCTTGGAATCTTGAAGAAATGCGCCTTGGATATCATCTGGATTACAAGAAGATCTTGGAATGCGGCTTAGAACTTCTTCTACCTTTAAGGGGACTATGTCACATTTACGAAAACCTGCTTTTAAGTTTTCTTCCACGTTTGGCCCAATAATTTCCATCATTTTTGACAAAAGCGGTGGAAAGTTCTGCTTCTGTATGTTGGTATTACGAATGCCTTCATCAGTATCTTTCCACTCTGATAGTACCCTCCTCCATGCTATTTTCAGTGGTCTGAAAAATGCCACATCTAAAGGCTGCGTCAAGTGGGTGCTATTTGGCGGTAGGCAAATCAATGTTATTTGGTTTTGGCGGCATAGCTTTAATGCATGCACTGTTATGTGAGAGGACAGATCTAGTTACATAAAAACAACTTTTTTTGCCTTCTCATTTTTTTAGCCGAGGAATCATCTGACATTCCAGCCAGTCGCTAAATATTGACGCATCAAACCATCCTGAACTACTTGAATTATACCGGCATCCCTTAGGTCCATTTTCGGTCCACGTCGTCCACATTTTGTTGGCTCGATATATAAGGCGGGAGTAATTCTCCTGCCGCATTACCTGAAAACATAACCGATATGGACGTTTTCGATGCATTCCGTATTAACTCTGGATATTTTGATCCTTTCTTTACTATAACTTTTTTCTTTCCTGGATCATCGCTCAAGTTCGTTTCATCGAAATTCCAGATATTCGTTGGCGGGACGTCTCTCAACCTATCGGACAAATTTTTCAAAAAACTTCTTATCATTGGTTCATCCACGGCGGCTCTCATTCGTTTTACATTTCGGCGAGCGTTGTGAATAGCTTCAGGGTTTATGAACAAAAAGTCCTTTTAGCAATCAGTACCAAGGGGTGTTTTCTTTAAATACTTTTTCTTCCCTTCCACATCTGGCCAAGTAATTCTTTATGATGTTTCTCAATTCTTGCATATTCACAGGAAACCCATAGTCCCCTAAAGATATAATGCACTGAACAAATTCTCTTTCTTCGTCAGCAGTAAATATGGGCTGATGCCCCGGTTTTTTAGAATGTCTACATTTGAGTTTATTCAAGATTGTTCGTCTAGGAATCTTGTACTTTTCTTCAGCGGCTCTTATGCGATATGCGTCATGTTTTATTTCGTTTTAAACATTCTAATAGAGTTTCTTCTGTGTAATCAGCGTATTTTCGCGCACCGGCTTTTCTTTTGTAATTTTAGGCATAGTTACTATTAAAAAAGAAAAAAAAAATGATATGAAGTTTGTAATTTTACCGCCGGAGCAAAGTAACCCAGAAAATGAACAATGGGTATAACTGTTGCTCCGGAAGCAAAGTACCCCAAATACCTATATTTTTGCAGGTCCAGACAAGAAAATATATTTTTTTGTTTTAACTGGTTTCGTTAAAAAAAATATAAAATAAAGGAACAGTTTAGAATATATACCGTTACTTATAATATGCACACACTGTGGTAAAACAGCTTAATAACGTTGGTGCAACACATTTCTAATTTTGGCGATTAAAAATAGAGCAAATTCTCTTACACCAGTTTCACATCAAGGTTATGTGCCTAAATAAACTTAGAAATGGCGGGCTCCTTGCACATGTTACACTAACATAGATAACCTTCAATACAGCAGTGTATACATTTGGTATCTGCCTCTTGAGGTTAATTTTAATTAATAAAAGTGAAACTCTTTTTGAGTGTGGAGCAAAGTAGGCTCTGAAGGAGCAAAGAAGCCCCGGTTTACGGTACAACATATTAATAATATTTATATATTATATATAATTATAATATATATATATTATAATATATATATATAATATATATATAGAATTATATTAATATTTTTTAAAAATTTAAAATTTATTAAAAATAAAATTTACTATTATATATTAATATAATATTATATAGTAAAAAACTGAAAAATTGAATATCGAATGTGAAAAAGAGAATAGCGTTCCATTCTTAGACACAAGATTAATAAGACAGGACGATGGGGAAATCATACTAGATTGGTACCAGAAACCTAATGCATCGGGTAGATACCTTAACTTCTGTTCCAACCATCCTACATCGCAAAAATAACACCCTACTATAAGAAGCCATAAAAAACAGAGTGAGTTATATATCACCAAAATTTAATACAAAACAATTTAAATAAGCTATTTAACACTTTAAAATAAATGGTTATCAAGAATATTTTGAAAAAACTGGTATTTATAACACAAACGTACACGACGGATGAAATGGATTACACAACTTATAGAAGAATTCCACTGGTAAAAGGACTCACTAACATCATATCAATTTTCAGGGATTTTCCGCATATAAAATGGTAAAATATAACACACTAAATATCCCATCTATACAGCCAAATCAAAGACAAAACCCCAACACTTTAATATATGAGATACCGTGTGACGGTTGTCAAAAAACATATATAGGACAAACTAGTCAGTGGCTTAAACAGAGACTATCATTGCATAAAAGTGACTGTCGTACACATAAAAGAGATGTGCCTTGGTGGACCATCATTTGGAAACGGGACACACGTTCACTATAAAGTAAAGGTTCTAAAACAGGAATCAAATTATAAAATCAAAAAAAAAAAAAAAAAAAAAAAAAAAAAAAAAAAAAAAAATCTATTAATTTTAAGTCCGACACAAACTAGTTAAATACAATATACAGTAATACCCCGGACTTACGCGATAGGTGGGACTGAGCGCTATCCGCTAAGTCGAATTCGCGTAAGTCGGGGTACAATTTTGCATATAAAGACATACAAAGTATGTTTAATTGGGACTGGAGACTAAATAAAACAATAATTTAGGAAATAATTAGTATCTAATTCTAAATAATATGACATAATTCTAAATAATATGTTTTTCAATGCTCTTGGATTTTCCGAGCGATAAACTAAGAGAGGTTTTAATTTAAAGTCACCAGCTGCATTCGCGCCAAGCATCACTGTCAATCGATCTTTGGCGGCCTTAAAACCTGGAAAAGTTTTCTCTTCACGCGCAATAAAAGTTCTTTTAGGCATCTTCTTCCAAAATAGGCCAGTTTCATCTACGTTGAATATGGTTTGGCTGGTATAGCCACCTTCATTTATCATAGCTTTGAGTTTCTCTGGATAGAGAGATGCTGCCTCTTTATCTGCACTTGCCGCCTCTCCACTTTCTGCAATGCTATGCCAGTTACAGCGACTTTTGAACCGGCTGAACCAACCGTTACTGGCTTTAAACGTTTCATCTTTAGCCATCTCCCCAGCTTCTTCTTTTATTCTCAAAAATTTTGTTTAGCTTGAAAGCACACCGTGTTCTGATCAATAGGACAATTTTTCACACTTACTTGATTATCACACCATAATTTTAACAATGTTTCCATTTCAGCGATAATACCATATGACACACAATGCATATATCATTCGACTGGGTACGAATGGGCACATGCATTTGAATGAAGGATAATGCACAATGGGCCAGCAACAATGGCAGTAAAACATGTATAACAATGACATCAGACACACAGTGAATCTGAAAACACTGAAATTCAGAAATGGGATGCAAATGTTGGGCAATTATTCACAACATGTTCCATTGCACACAATGCAGTGAACACAGCAATGGGAGAAAAATGTGTGACAAATCAGATTTCATCATACCATAACCATATACAGGACATTGGAAGATGACACACAACACACATATGTATGCATAGCATCACACATGCCATTATATGGATGGGCAATCACAAAATTAATGTCAAATTATGTCAATGGTTGAGATAAACATCCACACACATGACAAATGAGCACTTGGCAATTATCAGGAGACATATGCAAAGAACCGAATCAAATTGCAATGGAACAAGATTTATGTGCATACAATGTGCAATTTGCCGTATGCGATCATGACGATTGCCATGATTTGTTGCGATGCCACACATGACATATCATGACATTTAATCATTGAAATGTTGGATGAACCAGGTATGCAACTATGCACATGAAGAATACTGTGTGGGGTGGATCATACCACATGGCAAGCACCATATGAGACATGAACAATGGGCATGCATCAAGTGCATGTGGGTTGCCTGTGATATCCATATGGTTGGATATGAAACGGAGTTATGCAAATGACAACACCAATGGGGAAAGCATGGTGCATGAATGTACAACATGCATTATTGGTGTGAACACAGATATCAAATGGCACGACAAATTCAAGAATGTGAAAGATGCAATACATGCATGTCAGAATACAGATGCACCGATGCGCGACATTCATTCGTATGGTATTGACAACATGATTCAACACGCAATTCATGAATTTGACAACGCAACAACATATAATCATTGTAAGACATTGGGCATGGCACAATCATATTGTGCAGATGCAGAAAGCATGCAATGCATCACATCATGATGATATCACAACACATTACCAGTGGCAGTAAGCGCCATACAAAAATAACAATCAATACATGTCAAGATAAACCGAGCATGAATACATGTAGAAAAGCATGGTTTTGCATATCTATGGTTATGAACATTGATGGATGGTCACCTATTCTGTGGTATCAACACACAACACACACCACATGTTGGGTCATCACAGCAACATCTAACAGTGCCAATGTTTGAATGGGCCACACACCATGAAAAAAAATTGCATGCAGTTGACATGGTTGGTGGGCATTAATGGGAGATGGCATTCACTCTCATCCAATGGCAATCCAAGTGCAGACAATGACTATGGCAGTAAATGGAACACTATATCCATATTCTCTGTGATCGCAACGAGTAATGCACAAAATGATGGGCCCAACATGGAAAACCATAATGATGGTCCATCACATGGGAAATATCATCGATGATATACAGTGGACCAATATGCACATTCATGGGATATGGTGGGAATGGGAAAGACAATTGCCAATGACCAGTAATGCAATATGGGGCAATTCAAACCAATTCATGCACAACATAAATTATCAATATGGCTTATCACATTGTACATTGAAACAGAACATTGACAAACATTCATGATGGGGATATGCAAACATAATGATGTCATCACCAATGGGTACATATGTGCCTCCATGGCACATTCGACATACTGGAATGCATGGTACACAGCATATGATGGGGCATCATGGCATTTGTGCACTGATAAACATTGCACATGCATCATGCAATTTTGGCTAATTCAATTTTGGAGTCACTATGCCGTTTACGAATGATGCTTGAATTCAAAGACTGAGCATTTTTCACAGCTTCGAGAATTTTTTCTTTACTTTTCGTAATTGATCTGACTGTCGATTCCGGAAGTTCATACTTCTTCGCTAAATCACAAATTTTATTTTAGCATGTAGTCTTTAATACATGTTCAAGTTTACACTCCAAATATAATGTTTTCTCTTTTTGTTTAAAGCAAAAGGAGTCGGTTCTATTCGTTTGGATGCCATAGTACTTAGTAAATATCTCAAGTCGTCGCACAACGCACAAAAAAACACAAAATCGTAACTTATGTACCTACGCGCCGATTCCGCACTACACGTATGTGCTTGTTGTAAACTGAACGAATAATAATGCGGGCGGGGGGAGTCAGAAACAAACGCCGCCGCTTGACCTTGACTGCACGGCGTTCAAACAAAAAACGAATAGACGAGAAAATTAAATCGCGTAACTCCGAATTCGCGTAAGTCGAGGTAGCGTAAGTCGGGGTATTACTGTATTGCAATTTGTTAAAACATTAAACTAAAACTAGTAATGAACTGATATCCTCTTTCTTTCTTTTTGTTTTGTCCAAATTTTTAACAATTTTATCTTACTGTTTGTTAGTTTTGTCTAATTGTTGATGGTTTTTTTTGTCAGTTCATTGCTATTAAACACCATGCGTGTGGAGGTCTGTTTTGTCCGTCAAATTTTATATCTGAAAGTATATTATTGGTGTAATGAATGTGTATATTGTAAGATACGACTGACTTTTAGTTTTGTAAGTATAATTTTTGTGTATTTTAATTGATCCCTTTCTTATGTTATGAATTTTATGAATTTATGTTATGTTATGTTATTTTTTTAATAATAATTTTCTTATGAATTTTTGACTTTGTAGTATATCTCCTGATGAAGTAAATAAAGATTTACGAAATATTGAGACATAAACAAATAAGTTTTTGAGTCACTGACCGCCAACCTGAAAATAAGCCAAACAATCCTTTAAAACAGTACGGTCGATATTCAATTTTCATTTTTTACTATATATATATATTATATATATATATATCATATATATATATATATATATATATATATATTATATTTATATTATATATATATATATATATATTATATATATATAATATATATATATATATATATATATATATATATATATATATATATATTATATATTAATATATATATATAAAGAGATGGGTAGTCTACGCGACTGACTAGTTGAGAAATAAATATTTCAAACAGGTGTCTTGGGGATGCAGTCTAATAAGAAGGCCGTTAGTTTAAGGAAAAACCCTTTATTGTTTAGTCAAGCTTTAGAGAATTCAGTTGTTCTCTTCTTCAGGATCTTCTAACAATTATAGTATAATCAATTTCTATTCTTGTAAAAAACTATTAACAATGAACTCACCAAGTGGGATTATGGTAAAGTTTACAACATTGCTCAAGAATCAAAAGAATCCTCATTTCTCAAATGCAGTATAAAATCAACTTTTAACATAAACGTGAAAACTAACTACAAAAACTTTATAAAAAACAATACAACGTGTTTGTGAGTACAAAGTCAAAGCACTAAAATTGCATGTCAAAATCTTAAATATAGTATTTTTTTAAGATTAAAAAACAAAAAAAAAATTAAAAAAAATTTGAACTTTGTAGTATATCTCCTGATGAAGTAAATAAAGATTTTTACGAAATATTGAGACATGAACAAATAAGTTTTTGAGTCACTGACCGCCAACCTAAAAATAATCCAAACAAAACTAAAACAAAAAAAAAACAATTTCAATTTTCAATTTTTTACTATATATTATAATACTATATATATAATATTATATATATATATTATATATATATATATATAGTATATATTATATTATATATATATAGATATATATAGTATATTATATATATATATATAAATATGTATAATGGTATGTATGTTGTCCCCATTTGCCAATATTTAAATTAATGTTTTTTTCTCATCTAATTCGATTTTTTACTAGGTGAAAGAAACAGTTGGTTGTTGGGAGATTCAGGGTATCCGCGATGTATGTGCGATGTAGGAGATAATGTGATAATGTGCGATGTAGGAGATCTTTTCCAACTTTTTATATATATATATATATATAAAATAAATGTATAATGTATGTATGTTGACCCCATTTGCCAATATTTAAATTAATGTTTTTTTCTCATCTAATTCGATTTTTTACTAGGTGAAAGAAACAGTTGGTTGTTGGGAGATTCAGGGTATCCGCAGGAACCCTGGTTGATGACCCCTATTGGAAATGCATTGCCAAACACTCCTGAACATAGATATACCCAAGCTCAAATACGTACTAGGAATTCTGTCGAGAGATGTATTGGAGTTCTCAAAGGAAGATTTTTATGTTTCTCGAAAATAATGAGATATTCTCCAGAGAAAGTTGGGAATATTTTTAATACCTGTGGGATTTTACATAACATATGTTTAAATGGTGGGTTAGATTTTGACCCACCATTTACCTCCTGCTGATGATCAATGTTTTTAATAATAGAGAAGATGGACATATCAGTAGGCAAAATCTTATAGAAAGATATTTTACTTAGAATAGGTACACTACTTTTGTTTGTACATACATAATAATAAAAAAGTATGTAATATGTTTATTCATTTTATTAACAAAAATCTTGTAGCTGAAAGGAAAAAAATGCATTTCAACAAAAACCTTGCATTCTAATGGTGTCTATACCAAAGTAACTTTTCTTTTAAATGAGTTCAAGATAACTTAAGTTTCAAGACACCTTATAAATACTTATGTATTATCTCTTGGGACTGATACATGTAATTCACCTCTAAGAGTCCAATGACATGAATCCTGTTTGTTTGGAAATTATCTTGAGCTTGTTTACATCAAGGAACTAAAATACAAACCTTGTATTCTTTTGGTTATTTTTTTAAAGAAGATTACAAAATAAGGATAATATCACAACTTAAAAACTAGATGTACTTTGGAATTTATCACACTGGAATT